GTCCCGCACTTGGCCCCGACCAACGGCCCTTGAAGGTGGAGTGGCGCTAGTCCCTGTAGGTGGGGGGCCGCTTGTTGACCCACGCCCATGCCCGACAGGGAAGGCTTGCCTCTGCCTCAGGAATTCCAGATCAATGCGGGGCGTGCTGGACATAGCTATCTCGAGGGCGTCCTCGGCGTCTAGAGATTGTAGGATTTGGAAGTCCGGCCACGAATCTCTCCCCGAAGTCCCCACCTCTGCGTGCGAAGGAACCAAGTCCTCTATGACCCCGAATTCTTCAACTTCACCCTCTACTTCTGCCTCCGAAGCCCGGTCAGGGTCTTCCTCCAAGTTCTCTTCGTCTTCTTGCCTCACTGCCTGATAGAAGAGTTCAGACCACCGCGAAGGCTCGAAAGGCTGGGGAAGCTGTGAAAATTTTTTATATCCGGGAGTATAATTTAGGAGAATGTGGGCAACCCGACCGAACCCGTTGTCACCAATAAATCTCCAAACAGTGACTAGGTCGGCAAAGTTCACCAAGGACCGAGGTGGAGGAGCTGTTTCCTGAGGGGAGATGTCTGCACACAAACAAAAAGAGAGGGGAGTGAGTTATGGACTCTGATAAAAAATCTCAAGAGCGNTGATAGAGGAAAACAACACGTTCATTGATCTCCCCCTGTGAGCCACCATGTCGGCCTCAAAGTGCAGCGTCTCACCCACTGCGTTGGCAACATGGGGATCCTACAAAATGGAGTTGTCAACCCTGATCACTCGGTTCATGTGATCGATCGCCCGAGGATTCCACTCCGCGGCTTCCACTGTCTGAGGAAGGGGAAAGGGAGTTTGCTCCTGCTGCTGTTGCTGTTGTTGCCTCTGCTGCTGCTGTTGATGCTGTGGAGGAGGAGGTAAACCATGGCCTCTCCCGCTTTGCTGCTGAGCGGAGGGAGCCCTGGATCCGCTGCCCAGGCCATCGTGCCTTTGTTTAATCTTCCTCTCCACCTCGACTTGAGGATCTCGGTCCCGCACTTGGCCCCGACCAACGGCCCTTGAAGGTGGAGTGGCGCTAGTCCCTGTAGGTGGGGGGCCGCTTGTTGACCCACGCCCATGCCCGACAGGGAAGGCTTGCCTCTGCCTCAGGAATTCCAGATCAATGCGGGGCGTGCTGGACATAGCTATCTCGAGGGCGTCCTCGGCGTCTAGAGATTGTAGGATTTGGAAGTCCGGCCACGAATCTCTCCCCGAAGTCCCCACCTCTGCGTGCGAAGGAACCAAGTCCTCTATGACCCCGAATTCTTCAACTTCACCCTCTACTTCTGCCTCCGAAGCCCGGTCAGGGTCTTCCTCCAAGTTCTCTTCGTCTTCTTGCCTCACTGCCTGATAGAAGAGTTCAGACCACCGCGAAGGCTCGAAAGGCTGGGGAAGCTGTGAAAATTTTTTATATCCGGGAGTATAATTTAGGAGAATGTGGGCAACCCGACCGAACCCGTTGTCACCAATAAATCTCCAAACAGTGACTAGGTCGGCAAAGTTCACCAAGGACCGAGGTGGAGGAGCTGTTTCCTGAGGGGAGATGTCTGCACACAAACAAAAAGAGAGGGGAGTGAGTTATGGACTCTGATAAAAAATCTCAAGAGCGAAACAATAGACCCGAAGAAGCCGACGTACTTGTCGTTCTCCATTCCAAAGGGCATAACAAGTCGTTATACTCGGAACAGGCAACCCTCTGCCAAGATCCCTTAAAGATGAGTAGGTCATCCTTATACCCCTTGTCTGAGTCGGGAAGATGAGTTACGAGGTACATGGATGAGTCACTGGCTTTGAGATAGAAGTTTTGTTGGGGCATGACTCTCAAGAGGGAGTAGCCAAAGAGGATATCGTTCAGCCCAACATTTACCTCGAGACGCTTGTTGAGCTCTAGGACTCCCATAATTATTCTGAAGACATTAAGGCAACACTGCCCGGGGAAGAGATGGAAATGGGAGAGGAACTGGAGGAGTAGAGGGGGCAGAGGGAATCTAATTCCGCCCTCTATGACGACTTTGGTATAAAAGGGCATCTCATCCTCGGCCCCGAGGGTACGAGAATGCACAGCCGAGTCATAATCCTTTATGTCTACGTATGGGGGGATGCTGTACTTGACCCTAAAACTATTAATTTGCTCGCCCCCTTTTACTTTATACTTCCCTGACCTCGAAGAACTGGCCTGAGGATTCTCGGGGACAGGGTGACGACGAGGCATCTCCAAAAAGTGATAAACAGTGAATAAGGAGGGGGTTTTTTCATGAAGATCCCCAAGGAGACTTCCCGAGGATTGGTCGCTGAGTAGCAGCCAGAAACGCCTCCAGTTATTGGAAAACCAAAAAGAAGAAAGAAAAAACGAGAAGAAGAGAAGAGACGGAGGGCGAAGAAAGGGAAGATACAAGGACTCACCAGAACGTAGAAGGAAGTTTTTTCTTGAAACTTGAAGCGACTCCTTCCTCCAGAATGGTCAGAAGCAAGGATAGGTCTGTTGGCCTTAAGACTCCGGTGAACGATTGAACAGTAGACGACGAAAGGAAAGGGATCTCCGATGAGGTTTCAGGCAATGACTCTCTGAAAATGGCAAAATAAAAGGGGAAGAGAGGAAACCCATTTATATAGTACTCCTCCCCATCATTTGGGCACGAAAACACGAATAGGTGCATTTAATGCGCACGACCTCTGAAGCAGGGGAAAGCGGCTGAAGGCAATGATGAAGTAGTTGGGGTAGTTGCAGAACCCTTCGTCTCCTTACGATGCGTGTCCTCGGTGTCAGGAGATCGAAGGCCGGGGGGCAGTTGATGGGACATTTTCAAGTACTCCAAAATGAAGACACGNGGTGTCAGGAGATCGAAGGCTGGGGGGCAGTTGATGGGACATTTTCAAGTACTCCAAAATGAAGACACATGTCATCGGCGTCATTAAATTCTTCTCCTATAAATGCGACATGTACCCGTCGGATCACAAGTCCCTGTTCCCCCGAGGTACTGTTCATAGGGATCAATGACATCTAGTACGTTTACACACCGACACGTATCTCTCGGGGTTGGATAGGGTACATTGGTCCTACATGTACCAATCCCGCTCGGTGCCAAGATGTACCTCCGTCCAGGATGGAGTTCTCTGTTCCTGCAGAGGTTATTGATGTACAGGTCACTAGCCTAGGCTAGGCTAGGTTAGCTATCATGACCTCGTCTTACACAAATAGTGTCAGAAGGCACAAGAAGACAGGGGACACAGCCCATGGGGAATGGACGCGTGGCATATTGTATCACATCNAGGTTATTGATGTACAGGTCACTAGCCTAGGCTAGGCTAGGTTAGTTATCATGACCTCGTCTTACACAAATAGTGTCAGAAGGCACAAGAAGGCAGGGGACACAGCCCATGGGGAATGGACGCGTGGCATATTGTATCACATTAGAGACAGAAAGACTGGATGCCCTTGCTGACACACGACTTGGGAAAGCAAGCATTTAATTACACCATTCCCTTGATAAGACAGCATTTAATGCGGTAAGGCTCGGAAGTGAAAGGTAATAAATGTCCCTAAGGCTGGACATTTATTACATCCTTGCCGAGAGTAACTCATTGAATAGTCGGCAGGCCGATGACATAGCCTTGGTTGCTCGGGATCCCGAGCAGTTAAAAGAGAAGACATTCCTTATAGGAATCAGTGCGCACATTGCCTATATCTAATGATCACCTACTGATCACACTGACAACAATCATGAGTATTTGAGGTATAAATATTTCTCACAAAAGACAAGAGAAGGAGGTGAAACCTTTGCTACAAATTATACTCAGTGTTTTCTTCTTCCTTTCTCTCAAAAACTGACTTGATCGTCGGAGGGGATACGCCGAAAAACACTTCGGCGCCTTTCTAACTTGTCTTTCTTTGTTCCAGGAACCTTCCTCAGTCTTACTGAATCGTTCCGTTGATCCACGAGGGTCTCCCATTACCGTTCCAGGTTACTATTAGACCTCACAGGCTGTTCCAAGCAGCAGGGTTGACCACTCGACTGACTCACTCGAGTTCACTAAGGGAGAGATCTGTTCTCGTGTTTATATTGTGCAAAATCCAGCACGCACAACACCTATACTGCACATAAACTCAATCTCGCTGCAATGGAAACTAGTGAGCAACAAAATTGTTGAAAGTTGCACTTATTGACTGGGCTACATTAAATTTTCTTGATAAAAGTAGCTTCTTCTAATCAGATTCATAAATATATTTGCGAACATATGAAAACACACTTGCAAAGCTTTGCACCTTACGCTATTTAGTATTTAGAATTGCACTAGCACTCTCACTCTGGTTTCCCAGCAAGTATCTCACGTGGAGATTCTTGGTTGCTATGGTAGCCGTTGTGTTATTATCAAACTTCGATTAATATACAGAAATGACAATTTTGGTTTGGAAACTAAAGCATATATATGATGGAAAAACTGATATCCCCATGCCAAATGTTGAAACATAAAATAGTTGAAACTTATAGCTTAAAATTCAAATCTACCTAGAATCGTTTTTAGAAATTTTAATGTAAGCTTACATGATTAGCAAAGAATACTAGTGCTAGAACACACAACTTGGGTATTTGTAATTTTTTTTTTCAGCTAGATGTACATTAGTACGGAATCAGCTTCGTGAGGATAAGCTACAATCTACAATGCATTTGCCCTCACATAAATTTTCAAGACACAGAAGTTCATCATAGGAAGCAAATATTGTTTGCGTCTTACATCAGCTGCCATTACATTAGCAATTTGCCTATGGAACAAGGAATATAACAGAATCCCCGTTGCGTTACCACCTAACTATAAGCTTGTAATCCGCCACACATTGACAGGATTTTTTAGAATCCCAGTTGCCTTATTATTGATCAATAATATTACAATCCAACACACTAACAAAAATAACAATAATTAAAGCCAAAAGAACTAATGCGGATGGATTCATCGGCACTTCAAGAGAGATTGACAACTGGATAAATCTTCTCATTTCAGAGATCTTTGAAAATAGCAAACAAATCCCCGTGGATGTAATCATTATCCACCAAACTGACCAAGTAGTAGCTGCCCTGCACCTGCAAGCACAATAAGAAAACCCTGTGATCCCTTGAAAGCTACCAAGAATACTTTACAAGAGGAAAGAGATGAACAACAAGTAGATAGACAAATAAACTCGAGACGGAGAGTAAGCGTATGAGAAGCACCAACCTCTTCGAGCAATTTTCTTGATGGGTCACCCTCTGGGTACAGTTTAGCCCATCCTCTTGACCAGATTTCAAATGCCTCATCCTTCCACACTAAAAAGCTGGAAGGATCCACAACAGTTGGTTGTATGATCTCCTTGGCAGGAAAGACCCCCCATGTCACCGCATTCACATCGGTTTGATTGATGTTTGAAATCCAACTCCCTTCTTTGTTTACAGCCATGAAGGTTAGAGATGAGAAACTCTTGCATTTCTCAACAAGAGCATTTAACCTTTCTCTAGAGCAGAAAAACTCCACATAGGCCTTTTGATAAATATACCCACCAGGCCCACCCCATCCTGCAAACAATATTTTCCACGCCAAGTGACTGGTGAAGCCAACATCGCCACAAATTGCGAGAACAGTTTCAAAGTTAACATATTTTATAACGAAGGAGATGAAAGTATTAGCATACTCGTTATTTTTATGGCTACAAAGAAGCCAAAACAATTCTGATGATTCCCGGGTACAAAACTTCTGATCAGCCTATTTCATTTTAATGGTAATCTGTGAAGGTAACTTATGTGCTTTGTGTCACAAAATGGGAATCAAATGGAGAGTGTATGAGACATTGTAGCGCAAATCAATCAAGTATGTGTGAAAAGATCGAGACTTTGGTTCACATAGTAGCACCAATAAATTAATATATAAATTATATATAGAAACAGAGTTGATATGTACAACATAAGTAAAATTTCACAGAACAGTCAAGAATAAATGCTCATGCATACACATAGACAGCACCAATAATAAATGCTTATGTGCCTTGTGTCACAAAATGGGAATCAAATGGAGAGTGTATGAATCATTGTAGTGCAAATTAATCAAGTATATGTGATAAGATCGAGACTTTGGTTCACATAGTAGCACCAATAAATTAATATATAAATTATATATAGAAACAGAGTTGATATGTACAACATAAGTAAAATTTCACAGAACAGTCAAGAATAAATGCTCATGCATACACATAGACAGCACCAATAATAAATGCTTATGTGCCTTGTGTCACAAAATGGGAATCAAATGGAGAGTGTATGAATCATTGTAGTGCAAATTAATCAAGTATATGTGATAAGATCGAGACTTTGGTTCACATAGTAGCACCAATAAATTAATATATAAATTATATATAGAAACAGAGTTGATATGTACAACATAAGTAAAATTTCACAGGACGGCCAAGAATAAATGCTCATGCATACACATAGATAGCACATACCAACTGATGGGGCATCAGATTTTGCTCCATTAACAGCAGGTTGGCTGTTAATAGTTAGAAAACCCTTCAAGTTGACATCACCTAGCTGTTCATCGATGATCTTTGTCTCTGGCTGAAGCCCATCTAATTCCGACCAAGGATTACTTCTCAGTTTTCCAAGACAGCACTTTACAAATTTCTGAAATGTGACGGTTCCATTAATAACAAATTCATACATGCAATCCTATTGATAAATGTCAAAGACACAATCACTTTGTAAAACCAAAAAATACCTCACAAATATCTTCAACAGTTTTCAAAGGAGTGGCCCATTCATCATGAAGTTTCTTATCGCGTGCCCGTGGTCGCATGAACTGTCAAAGTTGCAACATAGTCATATAAGAAAGCAATATAATGGAGTCTTATCATTAAACATTAAATGATAGCAAAAATATGCAATGAATTTGTAGAGCATCTTTAGAGAACTGGAGCTGGCTAATATCTACAGTACAAAGAACTCCTACGCTAAAATAATTAGGACAACCAATTTCTAAAGTAATGATATAACTAATTCCAACCAGATTCAACAATAATTAAAAAAAGAAGTTTGCAAGACAATAACTGAAATTAGATCCACAATGATACTATTAATTAAACAAGGGATAATTACCTGGATGGGGATTAATATAAACAGTAGATTTACTTTTCTGCCCTTATTCACAGTCGAGAATTTAAAAAAGCCCCCTCTTTCACTAAACCAACTCTCTCAACTAAAACTCTCTTCCCCCCTCTCCCCCAACCCCAACCAGCATGACTACCACTACCCCTCCACCACCAATGTCAAGCAAACTACCATTATCACCATCACAACCTCCATGAAAACCAGTAACACGTCATCTGAATTAGGCAGAAAAATGGAAATCATAAAAAAACAAGCAACTCACCAACTCCACCTCCATGAACAATCGTACCTAGAAAATACATGCATGAATATAGGTCTACAAACTCAACAACAACATATGCTTTTAAAACAATATATTGGCCTATGACTTCAACAGACTAAAACTCTCATGGATAGGGTCATTAGCATGCACGCAGGTGCGCACTTATGTTCGTGTTTGCCTTGTCAATTCCATTCACGGCTCTCAAGTCTTCAAACCTACAAAATAATCTTTCGAAAAAAGTAACACTCATTTAGTCCCCATTAACGAGGTTTAGGAGGCAATATGAGATGGTGGGCTTATGTACGTGGCGGAAAAGGATTAATTGTGGGTTTTTCATGGTTTAGCTGTGGCAAGTCTAGATGGTGGTGGGCACAATTTAGAGGCTTAGACCAAGGGTGGTGGCAGCGATGCATTTTGATAGGTGCTGGCAGCACTTGAATTATATAACATCTATATCTATACTACTATCAAAAGTGCCTTAACATAAAAAAATTTTGATTTACTATTTGCCATAATAAGAAACTATAAAGGCCAACATGTCCGTTTGCATTTTCATATACAAATTACCATTATATCTCTTAGTATTGAAATAACAAACTAATCTCTAGCATATCATGCAAAACTTTTGAATGGTTTAGTTACGCTTAATATGATATATAAAAACAACATTATTATTTTTTCTCAAAACCCCAATATTAATACACGTTGACAACTCTATTGATACAATATTATCTCCAATGCCCAAAAATCAATATATGTATCTTTTTCAATTCATCTACAATCTAAATAATTTGGTGAAAAATTACTGAGGCACAAAGTAGAAACAAGAAAGACAAAAAAAGCAGCATCAAAAAAAGAAAAATCTATAACCCTTACTACTTGATAGCTTGAATGAAAGAATTACAGAAAATGAGTCTCTTTGATGTTTATGGTTATAAAGAAAATACAAACAATATAAGTATGATAAACATGAGATAATATCTAATTTATCACCATAATTAATTTTTTTATGTATTTTATCAAATGTTTTAATAAAACTTTATACGTGTAAAGCATGTGGTGCAAGTACGCACACACAGACGGACACACACACGCACAAACACACACACACACACACACACACACACACACATATATATATATATTTATATCATAGGGATTCTTGGTAGGAGCAATGAAGATTCCNCACACACACACACACACACACACACACACACACACACACATATATATATATTTATATCATAGGGATTCTTGGTAGGAGCAATGAAGATTCCGAGGTGGTGGCAACGGGGGTTTGCCGACTAAAGTAATTGGTAAACAATGATGGACTTAGAACGCAGAAAGAAATTCAATTTAACGGGTTTCAGTTGGACTGAGAAGGTGGTGGTGGTGATGGTGACAAAAGCAACGATACGCTTCGCCATCGCAGGTGGTGGTGGCATAGGCGGTTTCAAGTTTTGGTGGAGTTAGTGATTTTACGTGGTTGTGCCACATTCGTGTTGAGGTGAGTTAAGCGATAGAATTAAGATTTTTTTGGGGACAAATCTAAGTATGTAGAATTTCTTTGGAAGGTATACTACTATACTTTTGACCAATCAAAAATCTATTGACATGTAGTTAAGGGATTTAGGGGGTTGGTTTTCGAGTGTAATTTATGTTTGTACTGTCCTTAATGTATTTTTGATTGGATTTCTTGTCCACCATCCTTGTACTTTTTCTCTACTTAATAACAGCTTTCATTTCTTTAAAAAAAAAAAACTCATAAACACTAGAATTTAACAGATCTGATAAATCTTTCTTTGATAGGAAAGAGCTACATTTAGTCAAACAACCAAGATTCTCCACCTATGTATGTCTGAGCTTATATTGAGCATCTCAAAAATGGAGGAAAGCATTCTTGGATATAAAAGTCATTTTTTATCTTGAGACAATTTCAAATGATATACATATTTTATTAGAGAACATAGGCTTACAGTGACGAAAAAGCTTGTCAACCTCTAAAATGTGGCTGAAGGAGGAAGAGACAAACAAGAGGGTTCATTTCAAGATATACTATAGGATTGAAGATACACCAAACCACCCCCAGGCCTGAAGGTTTAAGAAGCTTGCTTGAGGAAGATTTTAAGTAATGGAATAAGGACTTTAACAATCTGGAGTGAGGAAAGACGAAAAAATTAGGCTACATTAAAGAGTCAAATGAGAAGGAAGAACAAAGACACACAAAAGATGGGTGAGGGAGAGGGAGAGAGCTTTGCTACAACTATTAGGAGAAAGGGGTCGGCGAGAAGGAAACAAGTATATAGGAAAATATGGAATTATCTTCAAAATTTCAAATTTTCATAGAACTTCAACGGAATTGCAAATTTTATTTTTTGAGTATGTTAATGTTTTATGATAAAGACGATGAGTATTATGGATTTGTTTTAGGGATTCTTGCAAGAGGTTCATTTTTGTTTGCTTGTGTGTGTTTTGGGTGTTAGGGGTTGGTTTTGTTTTGTTTTTTTTTTTTTTTTTTTTG